GGAGAGCCCAGGCTCCAGCGAGTATGCGTGTGTTTACCATGAGCCCTGATTATAACTCAAATAGACACCTGCTCACACTTATAGTCAGAACACCAGCTCACAGTGTGACCCACCCAAGACTCAGGAGCACAGGTGGGCTTGAGCTCCCGAGGCAGAGGTTGCAGCGGGCCGAGATGGCACCACTGCAGTCCAGCCTGGGCAACAGAGTGAGACTCCGTCTCAAAAAAAAAAAAAAAAAAAAAAATGTAGCTTTATATCACTTGACATGAAAAAGCAGTCATAATATAATAAATGCAAGGCAAGTTACAAAACCGTGTGCATTCACTACCCACCTAATTTATCTATGTATGGAGGTATGGTCATATAAACACACACACACAGAAAAAAATCTAAAAAGGACATATGCCAAAATATTAATAAAAGGATAATGGGTGATTTAAATAAGCCTTCTTTAGACTATCTTGTGTATAATCAAAACACAACAGAACTGTGTTACGTTTCTGTCTTGCTGAGTCTGTCCTCTGAGGCTCTGTGAAATCTCTGTGAATCGGACTAACGATCACTTGGTCCTGTGTGGCTGAATCTTCTCCACTAAGGAAGTGCCCAGCAGACAGGCTGCTTTACCACCTATTTTAAGTTTTTATTTTTGGTCAAATCTAAGTCCATGCACTGCATACATTTTCACTTCACACACAAGTTTCCCCTTTGGGGTAATATTTTAACAGCTATGAAGCTAGCGATCATTTCGTTTTGCCAGAGTTGCCCACACACCTGGCTCCCCTGTCCTGGGACAAGGTGGCCAGAACCTCTTGGGCCTGCACCCCTCACCTGTAGCAATTCCATCAAAGAGAGACAGCACCCGGATGGGCTTCCTCTTCTCAGCTGGGACAGGTGGGTAAACCTTTGGAGGGTCCTAAGCAGTGAGCACAACAGGTCAGATGCACGCCCAGTGGTGTCCCAAGCTCCCACTCAGCGCTGGCCCTCCAGCCAGGCTCCTAGACCCACACACCCCGTGTGCAGCTCAGGTCCCACAACCACAGCTCAGCCAAGGGAGCTCGAGACCACGCCCCAGGCCCAGCACTCACAAATTCCTGGTCGTGGTTATTAGCGAAGAACATCTGGAGCCGGGAGGGCCAGTCCTCTCGCCGCCGCAGCAGCCCATAGGTACCCTTGTGCCCGCACATGTAGCAGTTCCAGGGGTCTTCCTTAATGGCCGCCTGGGCAGCCCCCGGCCCCACCAAGAGGTCTACACACTCCACGCAAAAGCACCTGGAAGGAAACTCAGTGAGCAGAGGAGACTCTCAGCCCTGGTCCAGGGAGGTCAAGGTGTGCTACCTGGAATGGAAAGACCAGGTCTGGAGCATTGCTGGGGGGGAGGGGGGTCTGTGGGG